AAGAGAAAGTGCTGGTGCCATACAGTAAATAATTTGTGAGACAATAAGATATGAGGGAGTTCCGTTGCCACGCCCGCTTACAGATCTTTCAGCTGTCGAATATACCCAGACCACATCAGCACCCTTTCCATAATATCCCTCTCCTAACCTCTCCATTTCCCCAAGAATCTCATATCTAATTGCTTACGCTCAATCAAGAGTAGAGCATAACATTCTTCATAAAATAAATAATAGTGACCCTATACAAGTTCAACTTACACCCTTTATTAAGAACTATTACCTTGGTGAGCATAGGTAAGAAACCATAACTATCATTAACAAAGCTCCGAACTTAGTCCTGTTATTTTACTATAGCTATTTATTCACAGAAACAAAATTACACAACGCTAACGTACACATCAGTTATTGTGCCATAGATTTTAAGGTTACAATCTGGTTCTTTGCTAACATCAACTGCTTAGATCTTGCAGCCAGTGGTTTCCCATCTTGCAAGGCAAATTTGGGTTACATCACCTGCAGGGGAGGTATTACTTCTTCAGCACTTGATCGCACTGCCTAGGGCATGTGCGAGGAAAGGAAGATCAGTTGAGGAGAGAAACTAAGGAGAGACCTGTAAGAGAGAGAAGGGGAGGCCGGGTATTTGTTAAGATGCAAAAGTAAGTTGGCCGTTTTGGGAGGGTGGAGGGGAGTGGGAGCAACAGGGTTGGACTAATAAGGTATGTGCGATGTGTATGGGTAGTTTGGAATAGCCTGCTTATGCCTACGACCTAGGACAGCTAGAAGTATTAATGACCAGGGGTGTAATTTTCTCATCGACTAGTTATGTGTTATGATGAGCTGCCCATAAGATATCGACCCTTCATGTTTTTGTATGGGAATTGGATGATGTGGCTCGCTAATTAATGTCGTCGAGAAAGTCATGGTTAATGTGGTTTTTGCGTACAAACCGCTTCTAGCAGTTACATGTGGAGCCCACTATCTAAATCGTTTCTCTCAACATCCGTTACTGTGGGGTGAGATAAAAAGAAAGTTTTACTTAACCAAGGAACAATATTTAAACTCTGAAGTTTCATCACGGTGGGAGCGATATGCATCCTGCAGGGATCTTACCCCAATGACATCCTAGAACTGTAAATAACCGTCGAGGGGCATTTCTTGGCCTGCAGTAAACGCCTCAAAAGTGGCTCTCCCCTTGTAAGCTGAAACAGAGAAGCCAATGGAGGATCGTGCAAAAACAGGGATTAGAGTCACCCCTCGATCTACACAGCCTTGTGACGGCATTATAACTTTCGATTATGGTCGTCATTCGATAGAGATCATCTCTCCTACATTTTTTTCTACATCTTTCCTCCTTTTCCAAGCCTCTGAAGCTCAGACTTTGCCAACAGCAGATTTCACATTGTTGAGACCAAGACTGGAGAGGTTCAATATCATCCCTTGGCAGCAGAAAATTTCCGTTCAACTATTCTTTTAGGGCCAGCCTCGTTGAAGTTGGTTCCAATTCAAAATGGCACCTTCGGGTCCCGGAGGACGGCCACAGAATGCCTGGACAAGTTCTCGACGGAGGAAGCTTGCTAGGCTCTATATCTTAACTGACTTGAGCATCAAAGAGATTCAGAAGACATTGGAGTCTGAAGGCTTCAGTCCGAAGTGAGCCGGCAAACCAATTGTTCTGAACTAGGTAATTGACAGAACGTAGATCACGAGATATTCAGAAGAAACTCCGGTCACTCTTTTCAATGGATTACACCAAGCAATACCGATCGTATCGACCAAAGAATGGCGAGGATATGAAAAAGCGCATACAAGTTATCCAGAGAAAGGATAGATACCGAATATCGAAGTCGAAAAGATATACACGAGTGAGTCAGAGGCAACACGATTTGACTCCTCGATCATGTCATCAAGTCAGAGAATCTTGCTCAAAATTTGAAAGAGTTTTTCGAGATTACTCAGACAGTCAAAGTGCCATACTCTCAAGTGATTTACGAGATGCCCATCCCGTAAATTCCTGGCGACTCATGTTGGATGGTTCTTGTTTAGCCCCGGATATTTTACCACAGAATCACGACCCTAAAAACTTCGTACTAGCAACTACATCACTTCCTCGAACCCCAAACTTTTCAAAGAAAATTTTACGGGACCAGAGCTATGAGAAATTCAAGTACACACCTAGCCCTGCCGTGAAAGATGGAGTTTGTCTTTCGGATATCGAAAGAGCGTACCTGAGAGAGCTTCCTCGACCACCTACATCAATCCAAGTAGCAGTAAACTCTCATCTCATCAATGATGAGGATCGAAATCCAGGTAACAGACCAGTATCTAGTCTCTCAACACTTGCCCATCAGCTCACAACTCGATCCCCTGCCTACGTTCAACATATCTACTCCGTACTGCGCTGTTCTTTAACAGACTCGGATATATCAAGGCTATCTCGTCGATCGACCTTGTCGACCTTCTCCTGGGAATCTAGTTGGATGACCTTTTCTACTAAGAAAACACATTCCGAAACGTCATCTTCAATCAAGATGTCGCAAAATCTCACAGCGGAGCAAGAACTTGCCACTGAGCTCGCTGCCGCTGTATCTGGTACTTTTCTTACTAAGATTAGACGTTCATTCAAAAGAACAAAACGCGAAAGAGAGGTTTGGAATGATATTGTGGATGAATGTCAACTCATCCCTGCCCCAGATCGGAGACCAAGTAATGTCGAGATTAGCCTCGTGAATAGAGAATGTTGCCTACTTGCTGACAACATAGATGCAAGTTGCGAATACTGTGGATTCTCTGTCATACATGCTTGGGCGAGGAGAGGTGGTGATGGAGTCTCATATTCTTACTTCGGAACTATCGAGACGATTAACAAAAGTGACTACTTTGGCAACACCCCTCTGCACTACGCTGCCGCCTCTGGAAATGCAAGTTCAGACTTCTTGCTGAGAATGATAAAAGAAAGTCACGCCAATATTTTTGCAAAGAATTCTTCAAATCAAACTTTCCTCCATGTGCTGAAAGCTCCAGAAAATTTCTTCTGGTCGAAGTCCAGTGACCCTGGAGGTTACATGCTACTTCACAGGATACTTCAGATCCAAGACTTCCCTTTCTATACGAGGGATTGCGATGGCAGAACTGTTGCTCATGTGTTATTCCATCTACTACCTTCCAATTTGAGAGATCTTGAGTTTGTTGAAAGGTGGTCCAACTCACTTGACAACCACGGGTATACACCCAGAGATAGAATCTCACGGACTTCGGGCGATATGGAGCTCCTATCAACCAAACCAATTAATAGCCTTAATAGCTCTCGACATTCAGTACCTTCAATTCTTAATGAAATAAATCTAAATCAAAGCGTCCTAGTTCCAATGGAAGCAAAGTTAGATATTCCATTTAATATCGACTTTTATGGGGATACACCACTTATAGCACTTGTGAAAAAATGGAAGGAAAGTGATGGCTCAGAGGAGATACTAGGAGAAAAGATCAAGCTACTCGTAGATATGCAAGCAGTGGTCGACGCTCGTGACAGGAAAGGACGCACATCGCTGGCAATAGCAGCTATCCGAGGATTGAGGTTATGTGCTCAGGTCCTTCTTTCCGCGAAGGCAAACCCAAATATCAAGGACTACAATGGCAGAGGCATTATCTTCCATGCTCTAAGACAGATGGGTGCTGCAAGTGAGATGAGCAAGGATGCATACTATGCAAAGATCTTGAGTTGCATCATTCTACTCCTCGACCATGGAGCAAAATTAGAGCCTACAGAACGCGACGAGTGGCTTTTGCAGTCTGCAAAAGAGATCAATATATCAATTGGCAATAATATTGATTCCTCGACATTGGAATGCACGTAGTACATATGGAATATTCGTGGTGAACCCCCTTTCCAAGTCGACTTCGTCTTAGCCACAAGCAAAAAATAGGGGAGGCGCAATCGCGTTATCGCAAATTAGAGAGAGGAGGCCAAATACATGCAAACGACAACGATATACTAGGCTCAAATAGTGCAGTGTTCGCATTACTTTTGAGCACTTGGAGTTCGCTATAGGGTAATTGTGGGTTTTGGGGAGGGGGTAGTGCTGGCGTTGGAGGGGCCGGAAGGGGGGGGAAGGGGGGTGCAAGGACGTCTCTTTTATGTCCTTGATCTGTAATTTTAACTCCAATTCCAGGGATTTCGAAAAGTGTAGCTATTACTGCCCCAATGAGGCTCTATAATTCTCAGCCTTGTAGTTAAGCAAATGAGCAATGCCTCCTATCACTTCATATTAAAGCCATCTTTATAGTTAGCAAAATGCTTGTCAAAGGAGCTTTGAAGCTGAGCATCCATCGTCTACTCTTACGCGCTTACTAAGATTCCACTCAATGCCATGCAGAAAAGCACTCCTTATCAAGTCTCACCGTTTAGAACCATGTCATATGTCCTACTATATCGCCCTGCAACTGTGGTACAAAGATAGTGTTACCTAGTATTTCAAGTTAAAAGGTTAGAAATAACCGGGGATGACACAAACCTGGGGAAAATGTGGACCTCAAGAAGTGCTCTTCGAACGATGTCTTACTAGCGATCAGAAATGCTATAGCACAGGGAAGTTCTAGCAGAAAGGGTTCAGCTCATAATTTCATTTGCGCTATTGGAAAGCATCGTGATGCTCTAAGCCATTGGATTTCTCTGCTTCTATAAGGAATCTATGGTTCTAGTGTTTGTGGTCGTGTATGTGGTATGTGTTCTCCCCTTAAATCACTTTTATTAGAAAACCTGGCAACAATGAAGCACTAATTCTAGAACCTTGAGGAGATAGAAGTCTTCACAATTTTACTTGATGTAAATCCCCCTCTCCTAGTTTAGTTTTATCCGAGGGTGCGGGCGCATCATGAGCTAGGCGCAATGCAAAGACGACTTTATTTGCAGGGCACATTCACGCTCATGTGATGAAGGAGTGTTGAGGATTTAGCGGGATTTTATTTTTATATTCGACGATCGAAAAAATAAAAATATTGTGGGGCCTAATCCGGGATCGAACCGGAGACCTCTTACAATTGAGCAATGTCAACCCAAAGCAAGAATTCTACCACTGAACTATCAGGCCTCAACGCTGTTGATGAAAATTGTCGCTTAATGAAGTATATAACCATAAATGCATATCCATGACCGATCAGGTGTACATCCAACAGAGATTTTAGTCAATTAGAGAGCAGGAGTAATCTTCATAGCGTTTGGATTGCGAAACAATACAAAGGAGTATTAAAACAGTTAGTAATTAGAAAAACAGGGTATGTGGATGCGTATATGGGAATCCCGAAAGTTCCAAAGCTAAAAAGATGAAGCGACGGGTGACTCTAGGCTACTCCTCTCCTTATCTCCGATCACCTCCGCTTGTAGGTCATCTCAGCTAATTTTTGGTACCACCATTACTACCTTGGTATTTCTTTTGACGCATGCCTCGAAGTCGCATGGATAAAGATTCCTGAGGGTGGCATCTACATATATCTTCAAAACGAAATCCCAAGTCCTTCTCGGATTCCGGGTGTGGAAAAGGATGTTACCAAATGGACGAATGCTCAAGAGCACTGAAAGAAGGCCTTCATTAGATAGAGCACCAACAAAATATTAAAAAGAAGTGCACTTGTTAGGAACCCTATTGAGCAGGTTTCTCTACTTTTCATTAAGTTCCCAGTAGAAAATATCTAAAGGTCATGTTGTAGCTAGTTTTTCCACTTAATTCGATAAAGTTTCAATTTTGTGTCGCCAGGGGCACAATACACCGAAGACAGTCGATTGCAACCCCGAGCCTCGTGACTCGGCCGCTAGTGGGGATTCGCATCTGTTGTCGCCTGGACCGATGACGATCGTTTGCGCCAGTGAGCCTCAATCCAACTCAACAGCTCGTGTCTATTGCTCACTGCTGAACCTTCTCTTGAATATGAAAGACCAGACCACCTAACAAAAAATACCTTGCACTTTAAGTCCTTAATTCACAGTTTCCACTTCAGCTGCACATCCCCATATTCCGATTGCCCCGCGATTGACTTGGCAATGGACCAAGATCACGACGATTTCGCGAACGTCTCATGGCAGAGCGATCATATCGCTGGAAGGCCTTCAATCCCAGCTGCAAGCCCAGGTGCAGATGTTGAGGGTGCATCTTCAGGAGCTACAAATGGCAGAAGACGTGGGAGTGGACCACTTGGGCACAATGCGGATCCGCTGGATTTAGCAGGAGTTGGAGAGGGAGTTTTAGAATGCACTGTCACATCGCCATTGAAAGAGAACGATGGTTCGAAAGATGCTTATGTCTCATATTTGGTCACCACAAATGTTCGTCAGCTCTAGCAATATGAGAGCTTTAACTGACAGCTGCAGACTACCTTCCCCTCATTCCAGAAACCCACAACTACTGTTCGACGGCGATTCACCGACTTCGTCTTTTTATACAAATCGCTATGCAAAGACTACCCTGCATCTGCAGTCCCTCCTCTCCCAGACAAGCACAAGATGGAGTATGTCCGAGGGGATCGGTTTGGACCAGATTTCACTTCGCGACGCGCAAACTCTCTCCACCGATTCCTCGCACGATTGGCACTACACCCGACTCTTCGAAGAAGCGCTCTCCTTATCATCTTTCTGGAGAGCACTGACTGGAATGCAACTATGAAAAGCAGACCACAACGAGGATCATCTGCATCTGAACAGGGATCATCTGGGGTATTCGACAACTTCACTGATACTTTTATCAACGCTTTCACGAAGGTACATAAGCCCGATAAGCGATTCATTGAGGTTAGGGAGAAGTCAGATAAGCTGGATGAAGATCTAGGGCATGTAGAGAAGATCGTGGCACGAGTAGCGCGTCGGGAAGGAGATCTAGAAACGGATTATAAAGATCTGGCAGAGCAATTTCAAAGGCTCATTACACTGGAGCCTGGAGTTGAACAGTCTGTACATGCTTTTTCAGCGAGTGTTGAAGATACATCTACTGGAATGAAGACGTTGAAGGAGCATACCGATCAAGACTACCTAGGAAGTTTACGGGATATGCAGGCATACAGTACGGCACTTAAGAATTTGTTAAAGGCCCGAGAACAAAAGCAGCTGGATTTCGAACAGCTTACCGAGTACCTAACGAAGTCGACATCCGATAGAGATACTCTCGCTTCGCCAGGTGGATCTCTTACTGGAACTGCAGGATTCATACGAAGCAAAATTGAAGATGTACGAGGTGTTGATCATGAGCAGTCACGCCGCGAACGATTGCGCAAACTTGAAATCAGGATAGAGGAGTTGACGAGAGAGGTAGAAGAGGCGAAGAAAACAACAGAAGCTTTCGATGAGGAAGTAGTAAGAGAAGTAGCGGAGTTCGAGAGAATCAAGCGTCTCGAGTTCAAGACACAGTTTGGTTCTTTAGCCGATGCGCATGTGGAGTTCTACGGCCAGACGATTGAGATTTGGGAACGATATGTGAAGGAAATGGAGAGCCTAGGTGCTCCGATCGCGTAAGAACGCTTGAATCAGGTAGATGTGAGTGCATACTGGGTGGTAGGCACTAGGTGCGCAATGGCGTTCAGATGGGTAGACATAATCAAACCTCTTATGAATGATTCCATCATGTGTTCCCTGCTGCTCCTTCCATGTGACATCCTGTGCCCTAAAATGGTAACTCTAGAAGAAACAACAACTGAGGTAATTCTACGTTATAGTTATTGGACCACGAATCTCCTTGAACGAATAGTAGGTACGATTACCCGGGTCTATTTGAATTCGATCGTTGTACAATTTGATTACCTGCTGACATAGCAACGTCTCTATGGTGTTCTGGCCCGCCTCGGGATTTCAATCAACCGCCAAAATTTGGCGGGGCACTGCAGGAACGCGACTCGACAATCCTCCCACCACAACCCTTAGAAATCAACACCTCTTCACGAACCTTCCCTTCTTGACACACACAAGCTACGCCTCACTCTCCAATTCACCCGCTTCGGCTACATATACTCCTCCTCTTCCCAGAATTCACTAAAAAGCAAATTTGCGCTGAATAAGAGAAACAGCCAAACTGTTTTCTTCCGCCCTTAAAAGAACTTTACGCTCGGGTTTCTCTAGTGTGAGCATTGCTGCTGCGGCCAGTCTGCAACAGAAACCCAAGGGAACGCAGACGAACAGTATTAGTGGCGCCGCAAGTCTTCTGAATAAGAAGACAGAGCGGAGAATGCATAGCAAGGTTGTTATTATCGGCTCCGGGCCTGCGGCACATACCGCGGCTGTCTATCTTGCTAGAGCTGAGTTGAAGCGTGAGTACTTTCCTATTTAAATATATTGGGAAGAGGACTAATAAGTGATAGCGGTCTTGTACGAGGGTTTTCTTGCGAATGGCATTGCGGCTGGTGGTCAATTGACAACGACTACAGATGTAGAGAATTACCCTGGTTTTCCTGATGGAATTGGTGGTGCTGAGTTGATGGTGAGATCCTCATAGAATTATTCTAGGACTGGATGCTAACCATAAAACTCATAGGACGCAATGCGTAAACAATCTGAAAAATTCGGCACAGAAATCATAACTGAAACCGTCGCCAAAGTCGATCTTTCCAAACGCCCCTTCAAATACTGGTCCGAATACGCAGAAGATGGGGAACCAAACACTGCCGACGCAATTATCATCGCAACCGGCGCCTCAGCCCGAAGATTAGGTCTGACAGGCGAAGAAACATATTGGCAGAATGGCATTTCGGCTTGTGCAGTCTGCGATGGCGCCGTACCCATTTTCAGAAACAAGCCATTAGTTGTTATCGGTGGAGGAGATTCTGCTGCTGAAGAAGCTATGTTCTTGACGAAGTACGGATCGCATGTTACGGTTTTGGTGCGAAGAGATGTTTTGAGGGCATCGAAGACAATGGCGAAAAGGTTATTGGCAAACAAGAAGGTTACGGTGAAGTTTAATACTGTTGGGCTAGAGATCAAGGGGGATGACAAGGGTTTGATGAGCCAGATGGTTATTAAAAATGTTAAGACTGGGGAAGAGGAGACTATGGAGGCGAATGGACTGTTCTATGCTGTCGGGCATGATCCTGCAACTGCGCTCTTCAAAGGCCAGATTGACACAGATGAAGAAGGGTATATTGTCACGAAGGCTGGAACAAGTTACACTAATATTGAGGGTGTCTTTGCGGCGGGTGACGTGCAAGATAAGAGATATAGACAGGCTATTACTTCTGCAGGTATGATGTTCTACCATTTCACCACCAAAACTCAATGCTAACTATTCCCGAGGTTCTGGATGCATAGCAGCTCTCGAGGCCGAGAAGTTTCTAGCAGAAGCCGAAGACGATCAGCACGAGCTAGACAAAGAAGAAAAGGACGCACAAAAGGGTAATAGCGTCGTTGTGCCTGAATATCGGAATAATCCCCTTCTATGAAATATACAATACGCTTTACTTTAGTCGCTATTTTCAGGCAACTATAGAACCATAGACATGGTGCGTTTCGATAAAAGGCCTTAAAAGCTATTGATTAATAGATCAAGTTTTAGTACTCAGTACTGGTCGTCAGTATAAGCATCGGGCTTGAGAAGTCGTGATTTGAACTAATGCACGTCATTAGATTGAAGTTGTTACAAATTTTGCTTTTTGCACTTAGGCCCAGGATTTCGGGCAATAGTTTCTCCATCTTATTCTCTTTCCAAGAGTGCCTCCTCACATGATATTCAGTAGCGCGTTCTGATTGGATGTTGTTACTCCATCAACTCTTAAGTACCTGACATTCACGTTCACGACATCCCCACGAACTCCAATGATCTCATATATCATATCCGCTAAACCTTTTGGTTTTTTCTGACTAGTTTAGTCACAGGGGCATCGATCACTAGTTAGGGATAAAATGAAAATACTCCTGACAGACGCAAGCGGGCTCACCTCCCGCCAACTAGCCATTATCCTCTCTCGCAAAAACCACACCGTTCATGTTTTATCACCTCCTGGTATCACATTGACAAAATTCACTTCTCATGTCACCAAAATACACACCGTTCCTTTGTTCAGAAGGGATCCGTATGTCTGGTTCGACGCTATTCTTTGGTATGCCTATTGTAGCCTATGA